AATGAGTTCATTTCATGATATACCGACATTGTGATAGGTGGCCCCCCCCCAACTACATTTTCACCGAAATGTAATACCTTAATTAGTTATGTTAAGTTATCGTCACAAGGTTAAATAATGACCAGAGAAACTGTTATATTAAACAAGTTGCTTTTAGGACTGCTCTGACTGAGTATGGAAAAATGGCTTTCTAGGAAATCAAGAGCAGGTAAAATGTAACCTAATTTACCAAATAGACTTATTATATGTTGAGAGAGTGATGGGATAACGACCTTATCTCAATTAATTTGTGAAGCTGAACTGATGTGCACTATCTCATATTTCTTATACATGGAGCAAATGTATACGTAAGAACTTTGACTGTATTGCTGTTTTCATCCACAATAAAGTGATCTTAAGATGCATATTCTACTAAATGTAATAACATTAGAATACGCATCCACTTACAACTTAAGATTACAATTTTAACTACTATCTATATGTGACATATGATGGTTATTGGTTCAAATTCGGTCACTAGTCGGAAGGATAGCGTACCGTCCCTCCCATCAATAATCAAACCCATACACCATTCGAAGTAGAAATTTCCTTATTGATTGATTCGTGCTACTTTACTTTGTACATATTAAAGTTTATACTTTCCCTCAACGTACATCATATGCACTTGAAATAGTGCAAGAAAGTGCAAATCTTTTGAGGTAAGATACCAATTCGTTTATGTTTGAGAAAAAACTGTGTCAACCTGCCCATCCTAATACTTGACATAACGAACAATTTTAGCAACTGATTTTCGTTGATCCATAGAAAGAAGAAGGTCTGCTATCTCGCAATTCGTTTACCGAGTGTATGTTCAGTAACCTAAGGTGTTAAATTAGCAAGTTAAGATTATTAAATATTGAAACTTCTTTTAGAGTTATAAGAAGCTGAGAAAAAAAGGCTGACTACCTGTATCAACGGACACATCCAAAAGCAATGAATAAGGTAGGTGCTTATATGTGTGTGTACTAATGATGCTTATTCATTATTGCTCATTACTACTAATTAACTGATTCTTACATTCTTCAGTATTACATGTTTGGCTTTACTTGTTATTTTAAAATAGCCCACCACTATTTTGTAATAAGTAGTAACATGTTTAATACTAAGTACCAATAGATTTACTGTAAGTGTTATTGCTATGGTTGTAGAAACCCGGATTTTCGACTGCTATTCCTTCACAAAGAAAGCATAGGGAGAATCAACAAGAATCCATAAATCGTGCTAAAGTTTCAAAGCAATTAAAGATTCTAATGCTTTCATGGGATGCAGAAAATCTTGGAAGTTGTAAAATTCCTTATCGAGGATGTAATAAAGTATGTAATACAAGTAGGGAGTAGTTATCATACACCATATCACGCACACATGCGATTGGAGCGCTTTTTGCTTAACATATCACTTATTTCTTTTTTCCTGCCCAACATCACCTTTCTGCGTCTATTTTTTAATGCTTAATAGGTATATACAGTTCCTTCCCTCCTTTTTGTTAGGCGTTGATTCCTGTATATGTTGTTTTTTGTTATTGTGGCTAGTATTTCTCATGTTTTTATTTCCTTTATATTCCTTATGCTTTGCTTTAAAATTTTAGCTTATATATAATATTGTCTGTTGTTGTATACATTGTTATTGTATTTTCTTGTTCCCCCTTACCCTACTGATGAGCACGGAGGGAGATTAGTGCCAAGTTTGGCTTCCGTTTTGTGTACGTGCGAAAGGAAAGCTGACCAACACCTTTGATTTCTCCCTCCACCAACTTGATTTAAAAAACTTCCTTGAAATGTCAATATTTATATTACTTCATTGAGCTGGTAAAGACTTTCCTATGCTTGACGCAGTTGTTCACTCAAACTTTCAACTTCAGTCACCTCTAAAACAGGATATTGAGCCTTGGAAATGCTTGCGAGGTGCACATAACTTTTTATTTACCTCGACGGGCATACTAATACATACTGTTACTGTCACACTGTCTATCCACTATCTGTAAGGCGCACCTATATGAAGATGACTTCTGAGCAGGAGACTGACCTGAACGGCTTTTATTATTATATTTCAGCACCCAGGTACTGTCAGGGTTATTATTGATTGAGTGCAACTGCTTTTTTCCAGAGCTTCATCCGTCTTTTCCATGCGGTCGTGCACTTGGATCTCCTGTTTTTCTCAGAGATGTCCTTCCAGTGCATCTACTTATGCTGTGAATGCTGACAGCGTATCATTGGCTTGTTTTGCAACAGTCCTTGGTTGAGTTTGGATCTAGGCACCTACTCCGTTGTACTGCAACGACACAGTATAATATAACAGTTTATTAGGGATATCAGTCAACAGAACGATTTCCACAAAGCGTGCTGACGACGGCGACGGCTTGTCTGACGATAGGCGAATCCGCCGTTGATGTCCATAGGTTGAGCGGCGGTTGCGACGGCGAGTCCACGTCGGTGCCTGACCACGCGTTTTATACGAAGCTCATGAGGAAGCCAGCCTGTAATCAGTGCATTTCATCAGAGCATGGGAACGCTTCTGCGCAAGCTAGATGGTAAATATCGCCTACCGATTAGTTGGAAAAGGCCTGAGGCTTACACCTCCCCCTTTTACCCAAATACGTCCGTCCTCGGTCGTTGAAAAGTTTAATGACGGGAAATAGGGATGCAAAGGTTGCCATCGTTCTATTGGATAAGCCTTGTCCCATCGTCAGCCCAAAAAGCATAAATCACGAAATTAGTTACCTGAGCCCATAAATCTGCCCAAATTTGTCCACGAAGAAATGTGCGAAAATGTAAACGGGATGCTCTAAAAAGGAAGCTTAGAATCATTAAAAACAACAAAAAATAAGCTACAGTGAAGGAGCAAAGAAGAAAAGACTACTCACCATGATAAATGCATGTCCGAAAAGTCCTATAATCGAAACCGGCGAATAAAAAGGAAAAAACGATGCGGATGAGTGTGAATCGTGCTCATGAATGAAAAACCGTGTGGCCTACTGAAAGAGTATTGCCGGGAGCGT